GACACGGAGCTGGCCGGGAGCGCTTGTGGAAGGAATACGCAGGCGGGAGAGGCTGGGAGGGCTCAAAGGAATGGATGCTACTCTATTGTTGTTTGTTGGATGATGAGTAGATGTTATTACTATTAACATTATTACTTGTTAATATTTCAATGTATATATAAATAACATATCAACAAAGTTTTTTTTTTTTAAACTTAACTTTTAACCTAATTCTAACATTCACTTGGAAAAATAACAGGAAAGAATAGAATGGAATTTGGGTGCAGTGGTGCACACTTGTAATCCAGCTATTCAAGAGGCAGATGCAGGAGGATCACAAGTTCGAGGCCAGTCTCAGCAACTTAATGAGAGCTTGTCTCAAAATTTATAAAGGGCTGAGGGCATATGAAAAACATTGGATTTGGCCCCAATATGACAAAAAAAAAAAAAAAAGAAAAGAAAAGAAAGAAAAAAAGGAATAAAAGTATTAGGCAACCGAGGAGCTATCTGGAAAAAGATAAAGTCAGATCCAAACCTCATTCTCCACACTAGATAAGTACACAGTATTAAATATTTAAATGTAAATACTAAACACAAAACAATATTAGACTCAAACATGAGCTTTTAACTACAACTCAAAATTCAGAGGCCATAAAAAAGTCATAGATTCAATTGTAATAAAAAATATTCTTCATTGAAAGAAGGAAAAAAAAAAAAGAAACTACCTTAAGTAAAGACAAAAGATAAAATAAAACCCAGGGGAAGGTATTTCAATCCAGTCTCCCCACAGATGAAAATGTCTTCAAACTGAGATACGGGTGTCGAGCAGGGCAAGGGGCAAAAGCAGGGAACGTAGGTCCTACCCAAAAAGGAGGACAGAACTTCAACTACGGGAAGATACCAGTTCTCAGGAAATGGACAAAATTCCAAACAAGTGACATCCAGGGACACAGGCCTCTCAGCCAGCAGAGTTGGCTGAGAGGACACCAAGGCGCAGCTGTGAGGACTGGCAAAGTTTTGGAGGCCCCTGCGCTCACCTTGGCCAGGGAAGAGGTGCCTCAGTTTGGGTTCTGGTCTGTGTGCCTGCCTTCGTCCTTGGCTGTGCAGACATCCACATGGCCAGGGGACAGCACAGACCACTTTCAGCCAGTGTCCCTCCTCAGGTGACTGCTAAGTTAGCCTGACACCATTAGGGAACATGGGGACCAGCCTCCAGTTTCCTACCAGGGAGGCCTCCAAGGAGACTCCGGTGCCGACCAGCCACGCAGGTGGAGGGGAGTCCTGTGCTCCACCCAGGAAAGCCTGGAAGGATGTCGCTGTGGCTTGAGCACGTCCTAAATCTCCTGTCTTGGAAGTCTTGTCCCCAATCTCACCTGTCAGGGGTATCTGGAGGGGACCTTTGGGAGGTGACTGAGTTATGAGGCCCCTGCCCTCATGAAAGGATTAACTGGAGTGCTCTCTCCGACGCTCGTGCATATGATGCCCTCTGCAGCAAGAAGGCCTGCGCCAGATGCCGGGCAGATGCCTGCACTATGCTCTTGGATTTCCCGGCTCCAGAACCTGGAGAGTGGAAGAAGTCTATCTGTTTGCACCTTCTTTTCTCCTCATCTCCTTCTGACTGAACCATACCTGGCAATCCCTAGCCCCTACATTTCTATTATTTATAAATTTCCTGGCCTCAGGTATTTTGTTAGAGCAACAGAAAGCAGACCAAGATGAATGTGAAAAAGCTCAGAAGGGGGATTAACTTGCAGGTGAGATGAGGAAAAAGATGGATGGGAACAACAAGACCGTGAGATTTTCTATTCCTGTGACTTAGTATGTGCTAAAAAAAAAAAAAAGTTAATATTAAATTGAAAAATGAAACTAAAATCATGTCTAGATGGACACCTCTGCCCAGCCCCTTTGGAAAAGCCATGACCCCCAGGGATGTTCAAGAAGTAGGGCGGGGATAGGCCTCCTTGCTGGAAAGCCAACATTTGAACATGGATGTGGCTCTCTGAGGAAGAAACAATCACAGAGACATGAAGGAGAGATATTTTCTGTAATTATTATGTTTTCCACTCTAATTAGAGATTATGGAACTCTTAGATGATAAATGTAATATTTAATTGTTGATAGAGGTTCTAACCAGGGCTTTGTGTCTCCACCTGCTTAGAAGGACCCTGTGCCTGGGAGGTTCTGGTTGCTGCACCCACAGATCACCCCAGCCTCTTGAATCCCAGGCAGCGGCCCGTGGCTCTCTGGGTTTTCACCATGATGCCCTCACTGCCTGGCAGGACCAGAGCCCACCAAGGTCCATTTTCCTCCTGCCGAGGCTCCAGCAGCTCGAAGGATAGGAAAATACATCAAAAAGGGGCTTATCTCAGAGGGTAGCACCATTTCCTATGGCCTGAGGTCCGGCGCCACGTCCTCCAGCCTTTCCAAGGATCCATTCTGCCCATCACTGAGCAGCACCAGGCAGGACCCAGCTGCTTGGGCCAACAGTGTGCGGGTGGGTGGTGGTTACTTCCTGTCAGCTGCCCGCCAGCTGGGAGCTCTGTGAGGGCGGGAGCTGGGCTGCTTCTCTATTTCTGCCCACCCTCTCACCCACTGCATGAGGCAGCGCGGCCTGCTCAGGGTGGGGGCTCAGGCTGGTATGTCAGATGTGCTGAATGTGCGAATGGACGATGCCCTCAAAGGCCGCAGAGCCCCTCTGGCCCTGGTGTCCACACACGTAAACCAAGGGACCCTGATTCCTGAGGACCCACGCTGGTCAATTCCAGCCCTCCTGGGGCTGGTCCACTTCCCTGTCTTCTGCCTCCTTCCTTTCATAGTTGCAGATCAAGATTTGGGTCTCACACCCGCATCTAATAGAAAAAGTAGGCCCAAATCTCCATCATGTCAGATTAGGCCCCTACTTCCTTAACAAGACTCCTACAGTGCCAGAATTAAAGTCAAGAATTAAGGGCTGGGATCGTAGCTCAGCGCAGAGCGCTCCCCTAGCATGGGTGGGACCCAGGTTCGATCCTCAGCACCACCTAAAAATAAAATGCATTGTGTTGTGTCCATCTACACCTAAAAATAAATATTAAAAAAATCAAGAATTAAATGGGATGGATTCAAACTAAAAAGCTTCTCGGCAAAAGAAACAATCAGTGAAGTGAACAGAGAGCCTACAGCTTGGGAACAAATTTTTACCAGTTGCACATCAAATAGAGCAGTCATTCTAGGGTATATAAAGAACTCAAAAAGCTAAACACCAAAAAGACAAATAAGCCAGTTAATAAATGGGCCAAGGAACTGAACAGACACTTCTCAGAAGATAATACACAATTAATCAACAAATATATGAAAAAATGTTCATCACCTCTAGCAATTAGAAAAATGCAAATCAAAACTACACTAAGATTTCACCTCACTCCAGTCAGAATGGCAGCTGTTAAGAGTACAAACAACAATAAGTGTTGGCGAGGATGTGGGGGAAAGGCACACTCATACATTGCTGGTGGAACTGCAAATTGGTGCAGCCAATATGGAAAGCAGTATGGAGATTCCTTGGAAAATTGGGAATGGAACCACCATTTGACCCAGCTATCTCACTCCTCGGTTTATACCCAAAGGACTTAAAAACAACATACTACAGGGACACTGCCACATCAATGTTTACACACATTTCACAACAGCTAAACTGTGGGACCAATCTAGATGCCCTTCAGTAGATGAATGGATAAAGAAAATGTGGTATATATACAAAATGGAATATTACACAGGACTAAAGGAGAATAAAATTATGGCATTTGCAGCTAAATGGATGAAGTTGGAGAAGATAATGCTAAGTGAAGTTAGCCAATCCCCAAAACCCAAAGGCCTCTGCTGGGACCTCCTGAGGTCACCGACAAGATGCCAGCAGAAGCCTGGCAGAGTGGGCACAGTGCCTGTTCACAGGGAGAGGGGCTTCTGTGGGGCTACTCCTTGCCTGTAGGGAACAGAATGTGTTGCCAGATCTCCCAACTTTTCAAAAGAAAGCAGAATTTCTATTTCTACATAAAATCTTACTATTTTAAATACAGGTGACCTATCCCCTCCCCCAATGTTTTTGTTTAAACTGCACAAGTCCAACAGATGGTGCTCACGACCTGAATGCAGCCCGGACGTGTTTGCAAAGCACTAAGTATCATGCCTGCTCCATGCAAGTCCTCGATGCCATGCCAGTGACAGTCCACAAAGCTTGGAGAGGGAGAAACCTTTACCTGTGGCCCCCCGGGTGGTTCCTCTCTGCAGGAGGAGTTTCCCGCACTCCTCACCCACATGGCTGTTGTTCTTCAGGAACCTGGGGGGGGGGGGGGGG